GCATGAGATTGTTTGTGCTAACTTTTACTGGTTGTTCACGGATAGTCATACGAACAAATGTTTCAAAATCTGTTCTATCTTCTACATTGATATAATAGAAGATAAAATAGATTTTAATATGATACAGATATAACAGAATACTGTGTTCAGTGTTGATATCATAAAATATTTTTTATCATATCGTAGGCATTCAAGAGATTGCTTTCAATTTTGCTTTGGCCAGAACTTTTCATGCAGTTTATGACGCAGATTCAGTTCGACTCTAGTGAACTATTTAAGCGAAAAAAGATTCCAGCAAATGATATCATTCTACGCAAGTACACATAATCTCAGTGTATACGGCATATTCATTGTCGCTAATGACATCTTCCAGACGCATCGATAATATCAATCTACTTTTGCACCGTTATCGAGAAGCATTCCTCCATGTTCACGCATATGAAATTACTTCCTTTGGTAGTGCATCACACAAATACACACTTGAATTTGTAGAGCACCCTCCCGTTCATGATGAATATTTCTCTTCCACCATACTGATTCAATACTGACATTTCTGTGCACAATAATCACATTCTAAATAGCCGCAGAATTCTTTTTCTTTTCTGACACCACATCTGCTGAAATAACGGTGCAAATATCGAATCCATTTTCTTCGACCTCTCGCATCGTTTCGTTCGACGTTTCATCGCTAAAATTGTTTCTGGTATATTTTTACAACTGAAAGCATTACGACCTCAACAAATGTGCAATTTTAAGCCACAAAAATGTTGCTGTTGGGCCATAAAGCTGTGCATTGCTAAATGAATCCTTCACACCCACCGATAAACAATTACATTTTGTCGTGTTCCGTTTAATTAAATCAATGTGCATCCCATCTCGTCAAGCATTATTTGCACACAATAAATGGCAAAAAAAACAGTTAATTCTTTAGCTCTGTAACGTTGACATGACAATTGATCAATTTTGTCCTGCAAAAAACATTGTTCGAGCAAAGTTCACGAACTGGAGATGACTCACAGATTCAAACAAATCGTTCAGGCTTAGAAGCGTTCGTAAAAGTGCATATCTTGCTCCGGATCTTTCGTGGCGACCAATGAAAACTTTCAGTTCAGGGGGATCACCAGTAAAGAAAAATTCAGAACTATTCCAACATTATCTTAATGTTAGAGCATATGAAATATGATTTCACTTGCAGAATTGACATAAATTACCTATCTTTGCAGGGTTAGTATACAAGGTCCTTGCCAACTCGACCTTACATACTTTCCGATGGACACACAGCAGTGCAATTTGATTTTTGAGGTGACCCTTTCAGTTTTCAAATATTGTTCACAAAATTGGAGTAAATTATCCAAAAGGAAGGATTCGTTTGATCACCATACCAAATTCTTGATTGTCGCGAATTTCAATATTATTATACTGATTATTAAAAATGTGATAATCTACTTCATTTTGTTAAATTTTTCAAATCGTTGTAGTACATGAATTTATGGTCGTACTAGTTTGAATCAGATGAAATCTCAGAAATTGGATCATTACGAATTTGCAACAGATTTAACTGCACCGAAAATTTTGATGTCTCTCAATATTATCATCCTATTTTTTGATCATTTGGAATTGTGTTTATAAAGTCTCATGTGTCTTATAGAGTTATTCGTATAATACAGCAGAGGTACGTATCATTTGGCGGGATTGGGAGCCAGTCTCAATTCCTGATCCAAAGAGTAAAAATTTACCGGATTTTGAACTGATACATTTCTCAAGCAAAAGTACTACACTGTTTTACACAGCTGGATTATGGGATCAGTTGGAAGTGACCTTCGTTTTTCGTAGACTCTATGGATATTATGCATTACAGGTTGAATTTATTCATTATTCAGTCTCCGTCTGACGTTATTGCAGTAATTAGGCGTAATGTTTCACCGTAAATACGTCAACTGATGACTGTAGTGCACATTTGACAGCCGTGTTGAACTGACGACTTTCAGGCATACATGCCAACATACCTGTCAGTATTCATATCATGGATATCATTCTGGATTGACACAAAGGCGTTACCAGCGCGAATTACATGTGGTGTCAGTTCACTTATGGCGTTAACATTTCAATTTGGTAATATTGTCAAAAATTTACCTCGGGTATCCTATGTTAAAGTGAGTTTTCGCCGAGTGAAATTCAACTGAAATCACTGTTCGATAAGTTTATGTCTATTGTTCATCCCTTCCAGAACACTTGAAATAAATAGTCATACACCATTGCATACATAAAGTTGAGTTAACTTCCTCCAATTACAAAACAATTAAACTTATATTATAAGAAACGGCGAATAGAGTTTGATTAGCTGCGATGTTCAAAAGCTACGAAATATTCACAACATCTCACCAATCCAGTTTTTTTCATCGTTTCACTGATAAAATGCCTCAAATTTTAGGCGCTCGATATCTGGATGTTTGGTTGCGTTGGATTTATTTTTCTCTCGCTTGTGGAGGTGATTGATTAATCCATACAATCAGTATAAAATTATTGTTCAGGAATGATAACGCCATCTCATCGAATGGAATTTGTATTTAAGTGGGATTAAATCTGCTATTCTGGGGACATATCGAGTATTCAGCAAATATTGATGCTGTGACTGTATTAACTCTGCTGTGACTGTATTAACTCTTTGCCAGATGCTAAGATTACACCATTTCCTTTCCTTTCATATCTGGCTAATAAATTTGATCAGCCCGGATCTAATCAGTTCTTTCATCTGACTCGTCAATTGTGAACATTTTGAATTCAGTGCCTTCGCTCAAACGAATTATTCGGTGTTAAGAGCAATAAGAAAAAGCCCTTTTCTTGATGTTAACAGAAAATTAGTTCGCAACGAAAAAACTCGTTCACAAAACAGATAAAAATAGAATTTTCATTATCGAAACCTTTTCGAATGAATTCAAAGAATCCTCGCAAACATAAATAAATTATGCATAACTTCACTTCAGCTCGCCGTTGTCGGGTTCGTGGACAAGTCAGATGCAAAACGACGACGAATACAACGTGCTAAAGAGCAAATGATTTTGCGATCAGAAAGTGAACAGCAGTGGCTTTCGAGATTAACATCGCGTCGGTCGAATCAAACGGCTTTTGCATCCGATTCCAGATTAGGTCCATTTCTTCGATCCTTGTTCATTCATCTGTTCGTTCGAAACAACGATTGCGACTCTTTTTTTTAGATATTGACGCTTCATTCGGCTTGCTTAATTGCAGGTGTCACGGCGAATAGTCTACAGGCAGGCTCAGCCCTGCTAAGCCATCAAGGTAACATGTTGGACGCAAAGTGTCAACGTTCACACGCATGCCTGGATAATTCGCCCAGACGTTTACAGACACAAACCAGACGCTATTCAACGTCATTCGAACAAACACAACAAATTACTGGCGAGAAAATTGATGAGGTCATTTCTCTTTGATACTCTGCTTTAGAGCACCATTTCAGTTTTATTGCCCTTTTCTTAGTACAATTGTAGGAGAAGCTTTTCGAAGTTGTATAAAGATATGTTTTGATCAAAACTTGGCCGTGAAGAATTCATCTTTTTAGAATTCCAATCGTTTTCTTATCAGTATGACAAGTCTGAGAAGATATTATAGTAACTCAAAAAATCTCGAAGTATTTCTGGAATAAACTTTTAAGATTATTCATTGCAGATGTCCGCTAAGATATTTCCGCTGATGTTTACCGCGTTCAATATCTTTTATTGGTTTTATTTCATTGGTATGTCAGGCGGAATATTGTGAATGCTGAATAGAATGAACTGTGATATGAAGTGTTACCTTAATTTCATTGTGCGTCACTATTGAATTGTACTTTATGAAGCAGTAAATTACGAGCAATTTTTCATGCAGTATAAATCTGTCACCAATTACACGTATAACGATATCCTCACATTGGTCTTTTTAAACAATCTCTAGCGCCAACTCCTGAGGTTTTTCCAATTTCAATCGGTTATTGCCTATGCTCTTGGGGATTTGCGAAGGTTGGCAAATCGTTGTCGAATGTTTTTTTTTTCACATTCCATCTATGAC